GAAAGGAAAAATGATGAGAAATGGAAAAATGGAAATAAAGTCTTTGTAAATTGGGAAGGGTGGAGGGCGTGAAGGGAGGGCTAGGAATGGGGAAAAAATACAACCAAGAATGCATCATGTAAAGGTAAAAGTTCCCAATGAGAAATGTAAATGTGTTGTATACCTAAAATGTACCAACAAAAGAATTTAAGAAAAGAAAAAAAAAAGATTCTTAGCCAAAAAGGGGAAGGACATTTACTAGATGAGTTCAAGCAAAGCAATGCCTGGGTTAAATTGAGAACCATTATTGGCAACTGATGGCAGAGTCCCAGGAGCAGCCAACACAGCCACATTCTACTCCCCTCAGCATGGCACCTCATGGAGCTCCACTTTCTCTTCTCATGCTGCCACTTTGATTCAGCCAAAGGTTACAGAAGGGGTTTCTAAACAGAGATAAAGCCTTATCTATAACTCGTAACAGGGGCCAGGAATTTAGCTCAGTGGTACCATGCCTGCCTCACAAGCTCAAGGTCCTGAGTTCATTTCCTGGTGCAAAAAAACAAAAACAAAAACAAAAAAACTAAAACTCACATTAGGCCTTCAATTATTCTGGGGTATCTGTCATGTAAAGTCCTCACATCTGTAGGAAAACAGATCAGCTTATCCTAAATCTGCATTTTATAAATGCAGAAACTGAGCACAGAGGAGACAGATTACTTCCCAAATGTCCATCACTGATATGGAATAAATTTAAAAATTAGCCAGTCCTCTGGACTGACAAAACAAAGCTAACCTCCACTATGATGGTCACCCCAGGAGCTATTCCAGAACCCCACCCCTCAATGTCACTAGTTTAGCTGTAAGAATGGAGTCTCTTTCTTAGATATGAATCTAGTGACAGCTATGAAGCCTCTACTTAGAAAGATGCAGGCAGTAAAGGAAGGCAACTTCAAGAAAAATAATATTGATGTTATCACACCTTAAATTACAGAGGCAGGACAAACCACACAGAAATCTCTACCATATAAAAAACATAAACTATACAACATGGTCCTGGAGGTGTGATACTACTTTAAAAGCTTTATAAACTTCCAATATAATTTAGTTTTTGCACCTCAATGATACCCAATGTTTAGCCTGGGTTGCTTGAGAGTCTAATAATTTAGGTAAAAGCTAATGCAGAATTTAAGTTGGAATACACTTAAAGACCAAACAGATGCTACTCCTTCTCAAAATGGCAGAAGACTCAGCATCAAAACACATCTTTACCCTTGAGCTGATCTGTGACTAAAACCTCAGTATGAAGATTGAACAAGTATGCAGATTCTGCAGTGGGGAAACTTGTTACCTTAAATCTCTGAGGTTGGTGAAACTGAATTGTTGCCCTTTTCTGATCAAAATCTTTTCTCAGCTGAAGAAAGTGCACTTTGCCATCTTTATTTAAAACTTTCTTCTTCCCACTGACACTCCGGCAGACATTCACATCTCTTCCATAGTACAAACCCTGGCTGCACAGACTCTTCAAATCTGCTAGCCTGAAGAGAGATTGGTAATAGGTGGCTAGGGCTGGGTCATCCCTCTGAATGAGGAGGGGCTTCTTCTCCCAGAATTCCTTGAAAAAAGTCTCTGTCTTGATGGGTGAGATTAAACTTTTGAAGAGACTACCGGGGCTATCAAAGTTTAAGGTGGAAGCCCCACCAACAGCCTCCACCTTCACCTGTTTACTGGGAACAGGCCCCTCTTCCTTCCCATTCTCGGTAGGCTTCACTTTCTTTGGCATTGTTTGGTGTTCAAGACAAAACAAGGAGGAAATGCAAATCTACCAAAAGAACAAAACACAGTTAGGTCTAAAAAACACCAGTACTGGTGTTAGTGGATCATATATGTACACCGTGTAGGGGCCATTATACCTTCCTGAGAATGCTTCCTAAATCAGTGCTACTTTCTCCAGGATATGAGACACCTTACAGCAGCACCATTTCTTCAGCCTCAGGTATGATTCAGCCTCAAACACCACTCAAGACTATACATTCATCTAAAGGAAAACATGCATTTCTTACAAACAAGCACTAAATCCTTGAATTCACTATTTATTACGGTATATAATTATCCCAAAGTAACCACTCAACTGTCTCGGCAGTTCCTGATCAGAGGCTTAGCCAGTGGCCACTGACACAGAAAAGCCAAAAGTCTTGAATTTGGCTGCCATCAGCACCACATCCTGAATCTAATTAGATGTACTCAGACTTACAAACATTTGATGGCAAACAACCAATAGCTGTCCATTGCCAGGTGCTCTTCACCACAGCACCACAATCAACTGTTTTTCAGGTGGGAACCAACATCCCTGGAACAGTAGTGTCACCTGGTGGCTGAAATGCGATGCTGCCTGATCCCAAGACCATTCTTCACTTCCAAACCTGAGCTTAGTTTTGAAGACTATCACTTTATCAGAACCCTTCCCATTAAAAAAACCAAAAAAAAACTAGGGGCTAAAAAGTGAAGTCTAAAAATAGTTATATACCGAGTCTTTAAAAAGCTGTAACTTTTTAACTGAAGTAAAACATAAAATATCAACATCATTGACACAGCACTTTCCTTATATGCACAAAAATCACCAAAGCATTTTGTAGTTTATGATGCACTAGATCTGAGATGGGGCTTGAGATTTCTTTTCTTTTTCTTCTTTTCTCCCCCCATCACCCTGCCATGTGTGTATGTGTGTATGTGTGTGTGTGTGGTGTGTTGCACGCAGTGCCTTCACACAGAGTTACATTCTGAGCCTATTTTTTGAGACAGGGTCTCACTAACTTGCCCAGGCTGGAGTCAAACTTGTGATTCTCTTGCCTCTGCCTCCCAGAGTGCTAGGATTACAGACATGTACCACCACTCCCGGCATGAAATTTCTAACATCCTCTCAAGAAGTGATGCTGCTGGTAAATGCATGGTACACTTGTGGGTAGCATGAAAATACTCCCAAGCATTCCCAAGTCTCAGAACTGCCCCAAACTACAACTACTGTCACACTTATAAGAATTCCCATCTTCTGGGTTCAAGAACTGTGATTTAAATTATACAAATGTTTGGAGGCAGAAAATTACAGATCGAGTACCCCTTATCCAAAATGCTTAGGACTAGATGTCTCTGATTTTGGAATTTCTGAAAATATACAATGAGATATTGTGGGGATAAGGATCCAAGTCTAAACTCAAAATTTGTGTTAGCTTTCCATCACTGTATACCTGAAATGATCAACTTACAAGAGCAAAGATTGGGGGGGGGTACTGGGGATCGAACTCAGGACCTTGCACTTGCGAGGCAGGCGGCAGAACCACCGCACTAAATCCCTAGTCCCGAAAAGATTTATTTTGGCTCATGGTTTCAGAGGTTTCAGACTATTATGGGCTAGCACTGTTGCTTTTGGGCCTGGAGCAAGGCAGATCATGGTGGGAAACCTGTGACGTGGGTGAAGTTACCTCACAAAAAAGGAGGCACTGGGATCCCAATGTCCCCTTCAAAGGCCTGCCCCCATGACCTAACTTTCTCCCACTAGTTCTATCTCATTAAGGTTTCACCACCACCCAGGAGTACCAAAGGCTAGCAACACAGGCTTTAAGATTCAAACCACAACAAAAGCCATTTATGTTTCATATACACCTTATAAGCATAGCCAGAAGGTAACTTTATACAACTCTTTTAGTGTCTGCATTTTGACTGATTTGTCACATGAAATCAGATTTTATACGTACATCATGTTGGCACTCAAAATATTTTGTATTCTAGCATATTTCATATTTCAAATGTTGGGATCTAAGATGCTCAACCTGTACTTTTTTCTTTCTTTTCTGGGGATTGCGTTCACCGGATTCTTAAAAATGTCCCTGTCTCCCACAAGAGTTGAGAATCATCATGCTTATAAATAACAAATTTTCCCAAAGACCAGTAACTTACTTATAAAAGCCAAGGCTCTGACTTTGTTGAGTTATTAGAATTGCACGAATGCTGTTTTCTTCTTTTCTCTTGTCATTATAACTCAGCTACACTGAAGACTGAGTAAGTAGAATTAACACTTGAGCCTATGAAGTAAACACCAAAGAATAATCTGTTACACATTGAAGCTAATTTATAAAAGAACCTCTAAAATGCAACCCAGGTAGAAACTGAACAAATTAAAAAGTGAAAATGTTAAAATGTAAATACTATAATGGTTTCATTTTAGCTTTTAATTTTCTATCAACAAATAGCTCAGTTCTTTCAAACTTGACACACAGGACCATGGTAGAAAACTATACAAATTGTTACGAACAACTGACAGTACAGGGGTAAGAGCTTAGGTTTTGAAAAACTTAACTTTAATGTTTTAGGACATGTGGTCAAAAGAGACACATTTTCTGAAAAAGATGCAAAAATCCTCAAAAAGATACTGGCAAATAGAATGCAGCAAATTATAAAAAAGATCATACATCTCAACCAAGTAGGATTCATTTCAAGGATTCAAGGATGGTTCAACATACACAAATCAGTAAATGTAATATACCACATAAACAATAAACATAAGCAAAGACAAATATCACATGATCATCTCAATAGAGGCAGAAAAAGTATTTAACAAAGTCCAAAATCCATCCATGATTAAAAACCCTGAAGAAAACAGAAATAGAAGGTCTTTATCTCAATCTGATAAAAGCCTTCTCTGACAAACCAACAGCCAACATCATACCAAATGGAGAGAAGATGAAAGCTTTCCCTCTAAAATCAGGAATAAGACAAGGATGTCCACTATCACCACTTTGGTTCAGTATAATTCTTGAAATATTAGAAAGAGCAGTAAGACAAGAGAAAGACATAAAAGGGATAGGGAAGGAAGAAGTTAAATTATTACTATTTGTTAATGACAAAATCCTCTCCATAGAAGACCCCAAAATCTCCACAAGACTTCTAGAACTAATATCCAAATTCGGTAGTATAGCAGGATACAAAGTCAACACTCAAAAATCTATACCATTCCTGTACACCAATAACAAACTCACAAAGAGGGAAATTAGGGAAACAATACCATTCACAATATCATCAAGAAAAATCAAAATTGGTACTTAAGAATTAACCTACCCAAGAAAGTGAAAGACCTCTACAATGAAAACTATAGCATAATGAAAACTACAGGCCTGTGAAAAAGGAAATTGAAGAGGATACTAGAAAATGGAATGATATCCTCTGTTCCTGGGTAGGCAGAACCAATACAGTCAAAATGGCCACATTTCCAAAACTGTTAACATAGATTTAATGCATTCCCAGTCAAAATACCAATAGTATTCCTTACAGAACTACAGAAAGGAATCCTACAATTCATATGGAACCAGAAGAGATCCAGAATAGCAAAAGCAATTTAGGCAACAAGGTCAAGAAAGGAGGCATCACAATCCCAGACTTCAATTTATACTACAAAACCAAAAAAAAAAAGACTTGTAGATTAACGGAACAGAATAAAAGATAAAAGAAACAACTCCAAGCACATTTAGCTATGTCATTTTTGTCAAAGAAGGCAAATCTCTCCACAGGAAGAAAGATAACCTCTTGAACAAAAGCTGGGAAAACTGGCTATCTACATGCTGAAACTAGACCCATATCTCTCACCATGCAATAAACTAAAATCAAAATGGATCAAAGATTTAAACATTAGAGCAGAATAAATCTGCTGGAAGACAAAACAGGTAAAACTCTTTAAGACATAAGTGTAGGCAAAGACTTTCTGAACAAAACAAGACAATACCAAGAATCAAAAATGGGATCACATCAAATTAAAAACTTTCTGCATAGCAACAGAAACCACCACCAGTGTGAAGAGACAACCCACAGAACGGGAAAAAGGTTTTGCTAGCTACTCCTCAAAAGACTAATACCTGGAATATATAAAGAACTCAAGAGGGTTCCTACCACCATTCACTGAAAAGTGTGCCTTGCTACACCTAAAATGTACAAAACAGTAGTTTATACTGAACACTCTTTTTACTTCTAGGGGTCTGGAATTCAGGTATGTGCCAGCTGCCTAGTCACCAGTCCCAACAAAAATCCTGACTCAACTTTTTGGTTGACAACATTTCACACCTGCAGAAAAAGAGTAGGTGCTGGACCATTTGAGAACATCTGTGACTTCACTAGAAGATTCTAGGAAGCTCAAAGCTGGCCACCCCAGGACTTCCTCCATGTGCCTCTTTCCTTTGCTAATCGTGTTTAGTATCCTTTCCCTGCAGTCAATCAGTAGTCTTCCCAGTAAACTGCTGAACCTTGATGATCTAGGGAACACCAAGACATCTAATTTTTAAAACTAATTATTAGTCTGGTTTATTAGGTTTATATCACTAAAGGTATCCTAATAAGCAGTTTATATTTAATCACGTGTCTCTTAACCCTCACAATTGGTCATGTTGATATTTATTTAAGGGATGAAGCAGGTAGAAGATGCAAGTCAAAGGCTTTAAGTAGTTTCCAGACGGTATGGCTAGACAAAATGCACAGAATACTTAAGACAAAATAAAATCACTGACAGAATTTTTTCCATGTACAATCACTAACAAAAATAAACCTCAAGAGTGCATAACAAATGCTTTTGTTAGAATATAAATTTCACAACTTATACAGCCAAAAGTTACATCATTTATTGTTTCTGTGTTCATACTGAAATGATCTCAGGCTCAGTTAATTGGAATCTAGCTTAGAGGTTACTGGCCAAACATACTATTTCTCACATTACTCATTATATGACAACCATTCCTTTTAACAGCTTTTGGAGGGTAGAAGGAAGAACAGAAGACATACTATACTCCATTACACATTCAAAATTGTAAGATCCATCACAATTTCAGACACTAAAAAAGTAAGAAATCATTAGGCGCGCTGGTATACCCTGCCTCACCTCAGGAGGATGAGGCAGGAGATCAGTGAGTCTGATGCTGGGTGATTTAATGAGACCCTGTCTCAAAAATATGGGGCTGGGGATGTAGCTCAGTGGTAGGTAAACAGAAATTCATTGTCCAGTCCAGCCAAAACGAAACAAAAAAACCAAACAACTAAAAAAGCATATCTGGAATCCATAAAATACAGTAAAAAATGCTTCATGTAGAATACAACAGCCAACACAAGCCTGCCCAAGCCTTCACCCTGGGAAAAGAGAGGGAACAATACCTAAGCTTTTGAAAACCAATTGTTTTCAACAAACAATAGAGTTGGGGGAAGCAGATGGTTTGAGCAGTGGGAATTATTCTCTTGATGGCAGCCTGAGGCTTCCTTATTCAATAGTATTTTAAGAGCAAAAGGGCACCCTGGAGGGCAGGAGTTATTACTCACCTGTGCACAGTGCTACATTAGTGGGCAATCCACAGCATAACTAAGAAGGCTTGTTAACAGGCAAATTCCTGGGCCCACAGCTAGGAGACTGAATTGCCCTATTTCAAGACTGGGGCCCAGCAATCTATATTAACATAACTGAGCTCTCCTAATGAATTTTACAGCCACTAACATTGCGGAACAGTTGAATTCAGCTCAATTAAACACACACCTGGAAAAAATGATATATAATGCCTCTAACAAGGTTGTTCGGGCTGACCTAAAACATTTTTCAGGACACAGAAATTTTCATTACTCTAGTGAGTTTCTCCTGTTCATCCTAAGCCATGACTGGCAGTTGCTTTTAGTTTTATTTTAGAAAGAAAATGAGTTATAATTCACTAATATATTTTGATGACCACGCGGTTATAAAGATAAGGCCCGATAAGGAATCATCCAGCCATTAGTGAAAAGCTGGGTAAATCAGGTTCTCCACTTAAAGATGATCCAGGTGAAAAACTGGACTGAATGTCTACCTGATGAGTCGTGAAATCACAGCCTCTTGACTCTCAGGCCTGGACTTCTGAAACCACAGTGGATAACCTGGTCTTCTTAACCTGACAAGCCAGGCAATGAGCAGCCATTCTTGGGTTACTTTCCGAAAAACTAAGTGGAGGCCTAGGCTGCTGTTTTAAAGTCAGAAGTGGGCCAAGCGCCTCAGTCCCGCCTTCCCACTCGCGAACTTCGGCGCTCCCGGCCGAGCAGCGGGCGCCCCAGCCCGGGCCCACGTGGCGGCCGCGCGTCCACCTCCCTCGCAACCCTCGCACCGTCAGTCCAGGTCCCGGAACCGCAGGCGGCAGCACACGTGTGCCCCTCTCGGCGTCCCGGACCTCCGCACGTCCAGCCCCAGGTCCCGGCGCGCCCAGACTTCCCGATGCTCGTCCCTGGCTCCCCAACCCCTAGCCGGGCGGTCGGGCCTGGGCCCCCCAGGAGCGAACCCCGCGGTCCCACAGGGCCGCTTCCGGGAGACCCGCGCGACCTGCTACTTGGGCCTGCAGCGCCGCCCGCCCGCGGCCTTCGCCCTACTCACCGCGGCAGAAAGCAGAGTGGACGTCGGGGGGCGGGGCGGCGTGGGGACGTTCGGGCGCGCCGGCCCCGCCCTGGAGAGCGCTCCCTGAGGATTCCTCCTCTTGCTCAGCTATAAATTGAGAACCCAGTGCGTGGTACTTTTTAAGGTTGATAATCTACATCTGGAGGTTGCGGGGAAGTGTATGAACTTGGAAAAGTCTTCGCTCACGCTCTTGTCCCTCATTTATGAGGTGAGATTGCACCAGATATGCTGTGGTGTCCCTAAGGGGCTCTCACATTCCCTAAGCCCAAGTGTCTGCATCAGTTTCCATAATATTGAGAACAAAATCAATTGGATTGGAATAAACATTGAGGAGCTGTAAAATGTCTAATATTTATTTTTATTTTTCATCTTGTTTCTACTTCTGTCTTGTACACTTCAGGAAGCACTCACTGGTTTAGATTGTGTAAGAGGTGTTTGTACTCACTTTGATCCATAACAGATCGAGGTAATTTTTTTCTTATATATGACTTCAATATTTATACCATTACTACCAGCCTAACTAATATAAGGAAAGTGAGACACAATGAAGTAACCCGCTGAACGTTTTCAACCATTAGATAACAGAACTGAGAAGTAAAAACCTGTTGACTCTTGGGCTGCTATAGAAAAACACCGTAGACTAGGTGGTGTATAAACAACAAAAATTTGTTTCTCAGTTCTGAAGCTGTGAATTCCAAGATCAAGGCACCAGCAAATTCACTGTGCCTGGGGAAGGCCCCTCCCGGATTCATTCCTGCTAGCTGTATCTTCACATGGTAGAATGGGCAAGGCAGTTTTGCGGGGCCTCTTTTACAAATGCACTAGTCCTATTCATGAAGCCTTTATCCTCATGACCTAAAATTCCCAAAGACCCTTCCAAATCAGAATGGCAATTTATTTTCAACATACGAATTTTGGAGACTACATTTACATCATAACACTCATGCTATGAATACTTTTATGGACCTCTGTTTCTGCATCTGTAAAAGTAGTTAATTTCATCTAATAAAGTTCTTGTGAGCCCAAGTGAGGTACAGTAAATAAAAGAATCTTAAAGCTATAAAATGCTGTTCACCTGAGAGGCATTTGTCAAATCCCACTCAGCATCTTGAACATGTTTCCATAGAATGAGTTAAGTACAATTGGGCTTATTACACGTGTATGCTTCATTTCATTCACAAAACTCATCAAGCAAAGCACCTTCAAATTAATGTAGTCATATCACTATGGAATGAGGTTTACCTCACTGGCATTTACCATAATGTTAAGTGAAATAAATTGGACACACAGCTTAAATATCGTATAGTTTTCCTTATATATAAACCCAAATTACAAATAAAGAACAAAATAAAAGATAGATGATAGGAAATAGGGAGACAGATTTCTCACTAATGGGAAGGTTAATAAAAGATGGAGGGAAGGGGAAGGGGAAGGGAGGAGTGGGTAAAAAGATGGAAACAAGAATTAAGATGTGTTATGTACATGTACCAACTCCCACAAGGAATGTAAATATTATGTACTACAAACATGTATTAATACAAATAAATAAACAAATAGCCAAATTTAAGAGTGACCAAGACCAAGGTCTTACAATACTATACTTCTGATACACCTCCTGGAACTCAATATATTTGATCTGACAAAAGCATAAGTAACTTTGAAATTATATATTTATATAATGGGGTAGGACATTTATTGCCTTTAATTCTGAGACCTACAACAGAACTGTGGAAAAGTAGTTGTTACTCTTTTCTTACAACTAGACATTGAGTTAGCACTCCTGTTTTCTTTTCTTGATCGTGGTCTAATTTCTTCTAAGACCTGTTCCTATAGGAGTGTCAATGTTAGACTGCTAACTATACTCTCTGCACTTAATGGGTGAGTACAGATGTTCACAGGAACCCCCCCCCAACAGCCCTGCAGCGCTACTTGGTGGCCAGGTGCATCCACCAGTGCCCAGGAGGTATTAGCCCACAGTCTGCATAAGTGCCTGTCCTGCTGGTCACTGAACCCGTACTGCCTCACCCTGTCAGGACTAAGAGAAGTAGTCTCCTGGACCCAGCTATGCCATGACCCACAGCAAACAGACAGACTTCAAGAGATGGCAAGCTGCCGGTCTGGATACACTAGGTCATGGATATGGGTGAGCAAGAGCCTTGTTCAAGCAGTGTCACCCTCCAAGCGCCATGGTGCTGGCAGCCCAGGGCAGAGTTGGTGTCTGCTCTGACTAGCTGTAAATGCTGTGAGATGTGTACGCCATCCTAACTCTTCTTTGCATCTGTGTCCTGGTGCCTGTCAGACACAGAAGCCAGCAGTGGGTAATGGGCAGTGTAGGATAGGGAGGTGGAAAGGGGGGATAAACTGCATGTGGCATACCCTGTGGTTGTTATTCCTTCATTCATTTAACAAAACAAATTAAAGATTAATTAAAAATTTCAAGATGGTCACTGCAGAGTATTAAATGCCAAAGGGGGACTGTGGGTCACTGCACTGATTGCATTCCATGAAGTTGGCCCTGCTTGCCAGTCAGCATCAGCAAGCTGAGAGCTGAAGTACATATTTAAGTAAAATGACTTTTGCCATTTTTTTTCTTCAAATCTACTGCACCCATTTCCTGCCCTGAAATGGATGGAGAAGGAAGAATGGAGGAATGGAGGAGGCTGAAGGAGAGGTAGGTATTAAAGTGCAGATTTTACCTTTTTCCATTGGCAGACTCTTCAGTGCAGAGTTGAGGTCTGAGCTGGAGAAAGGGAAAATGAATTTTAATCAAACTAGGTTTTAGACCTAAAATGAGTACATATTTATGTGGTTCCTTATTCAGTAATTGAGTAATAACATAAAATATACCAAAAGCTATAGGATCTATTTAAAATGTCAGCAAGGAGAGGAGAAGGAATAACCAAGGGGACATTTGGACAGTGATTAGTGAAAAATAAAGCCATTTTCTGTCTATACATTTAACCAATTTAGGTTATTCTACATAAAACATGGTTCAACAATTAACCAAACAGAAGTCACTAGGAATTCCATACAACTCACTAAATAAAAAGGGATAATGATAATATAATGGTAAAATCAAGTAATGTGAATAATTTGAAGTGAGCTGATTATTTCAGTCAAAATGGAATGCTGATTATTTGATGACCAATATGCAATTAATTACTTTAATTGCCGAGGGACACACCATCATTTGTCCAGCTGAACAATAATCACATTAGTCTAGGTCAGAACAGTATTCAAAATAATTACATATAATTTATTCTACTTCAAATATAAATCTTCCCCAAAGATATACACTCTAGGGTTTTATTCTTTTTTTATTAATTTTATTGGTATATTTTATTGGTACATTTTAGGTATGCAATTCATTTACATTTATCATTTGGTGTTTGTACCTGTATATGATGTATCTTGGTTCTTATTTTTTTCCCCATTATCTGTGCGCCCTTCACCCCCTCTGCCCTTACCTATTTACATAGATTTCATTTCCATTTTTTTTCTTTTCTCATAGTTTTTCCTTTCCCTCTTTTCCTTTCCCCTTCTCCTCCCTTCAATCCTTCATCTTTGGACCTTTTTTCCTATTTCAAATACTCTAAGGTTTTAAAGAGGTCATTTTGTAACTCAACCACATTTTCAGCTTCTACACCATCTTTCTTTTGCCTTAAATTTTTTCCTACTTACAATTCATATTATCTTTATAAATCATATTCAATTATTAGAGCTCATTTTCACAACAAATTTCCCTTCTCTTCTGTCTACTTGAGCTGCATATTTATTCAAAAGCATTCATTCAGCAGGTCCTGAGGCTTCTACCCCATTGATCCATGATTTAATTCAAATGTGACCTCACTCGATACATAACCTAACTAACAAAAAATTTATTTCAGGAAGTGTGATTGCTCTAAAAATTTCTTTAGTGTGGGTTTGTGTTTATAGTGCTTATAGAAGTGCAAACCACTTAAAACGCCTGCATTAATATTCTCAGATGAAGTAAGAGAAGAAATAAATATAGGTACGAACTATTTTATCCTTTCTTAAGATATGTGTTAGCTTTCTGTTTCTGGGACAAAATACTTGAGAAGATCAGTTTAAAGGGGGAAATACTTATTTTGGCTCATGCTTTTAATTCATGACCATTTACCTCTGATATTTCAAGGCCTATAGCTGAAAACCATGGCAATGCAAAGCTGTTTACCCCATGGGATCTGAAAAGGAGGGAGGGAGGGAGAGAGAATATGAAGAACCAGGTAGAAAAGGGGGCCAGGAACAAGATATAGTCCCCAAGGTTGTGCCCCCCTCATTCCTTCCAACTGGACCCTACCTCTAAGCTTCCATAACCTCCTAATAAAGCCATCATATTAACCCACTGATGAATTTAGACTCCTCATGATCTAATAACCTTCCAAAAATCTCGGTAAACAAACCCCTCAAGCACATGGCTTTTGTAGTACATTTTAGATCCAAACTATGGTAGGATGTTTTGTTAGCTAGTTTTGCAAACATTGGAACCTATATGTTACTTTTAAAGGACACAGGCTTGAATATCAAACTTTAGAAAACCTGTTGATGGGTATAAAGGCCTCTTCCAGGATTTAGCTACTACGAATTGTACTGCTATAAACATTAGTGTGTATGCATCGTTGTAATATGATGATTTAAGCTCTCTGGGGAAGATACCCAACAGGGGAATAGCTAGGTCATATGGAATTTCTAATTTCAGTCTTTTAAGAAATCTCCACACTGATTTCCATAATGGTTGTATTAGTTTGTGTTACACCCAGCGAGAGAGAACCAACCGGAGACCGATATTAAATCTACACAGGAGTTTATTACTGGCCGGGACCCGAGCCCAGCATCGGACTCGAGCTTCGACTGGGGGGAGACAAACATGTTTTACACACTTTTGAGGCCAACAGTTTCTAGGCTCCCCTATGGGATAGAACTAGTAAAGCAAGCAAAAGGTACAGAAGCAG